GTTAGTATCCAGTTATATTATGTGTATCTAAAGAATCCAGGCCTTTTTTTGAAGCAATCCACTGAGCTGGCCAGAACCAATTTTTGAGGGAGTCTATTCCACATTTTCACAGCTCTCAATGTGAAGAAACCTTTTTGTGTTTGGAGATTAAATTTCTTTTCCTCCAGACGTAAAGAGTGCCCCCTTGTCCTCTGTGATGACCTCAGGGTGAATAACTCTACACCAAGTTCGCTATATGAACCACTGATGTATTTATACATGTTGATCATATCCCCCCTTAATCTCATCTTCTCAAGGGAGAATAAATTCAGTTCCTCTAATCTTTCCTCATAGCTGAGCTCCTCCATGCCTCTTATCAGTTTGGTTGCCCTTCTCTGCACTTTCTCCAGTTTCCCAATGTTATTTTTGTGAATTGGTGCCAAAAACTGAATGGCATATTACAGATGAGGTCTTACTAATGATTTGTACAGGGGTAATATGATATCTCTCTCTGGAGTCTATACCCTCTTTAATGCAAGAGAGGATTTTGCTCACTCTAGAAACCGCAGCTTAGCATTGCCTGCCATTATTAAGCTTGTGATCTACCAGAACCCCAAGATCCTTCTCCGCCATTGATTCCCCCAATTGTACCCCCCCTAGTATGTATGATGCATGCATGTTCTTAGCCCCCAAGTGCATAACCTTACATGTATTGTATTGATATCTAAAATATCTGACTTTTTTTAATCTCTAAGATAAGGGTGAAACTTTTCTTTAAGGTAACATACAGTTTTTCATCATTATACTACTTCTCCCATTAAATTTAATTATCTGACATTTAACTTGCGATAACATGGAATATTGTATAAGTTTTTCTTTTTTTGATGTTTAACTAATATGCACATTTACTGTATTATGGTGTATTGTTTTCTCCTTTACCATTTACATTTTCTAAACATTTGTAACATCTTCATTTACAGTTAAATTGTAAGGGAAACTAAATTCCTAGCGCCAGAAAACCAGTACAAGCTTATGCTCATATTCGTATGCGTTGCTCACATGCTCACACTTGACATGATGTAAATATAATTTTGTCATTGCTTTACATAAAGATTTCTATCAATAACATTGCTATCCTGATCATACAGTTTAAACTAATATAATAGAATCAATTAGCGCAACCAAAACCCAAAACTGTGTATACTAAAAAATAATATAAATCTATATAGACTGCAAGCTGTACACTGATAAGTGAATTCACAGCACTCTCCAAAAATATATATCAATATGGTGCAGTTCACTCCCACTGACAAAGTCTGCGCCCTGGACATAATGCATATGGGGGGAGAAGTTTGAGGCATGACGTCGAACCATGGCCATCTTGCCTTCCCAGCGTGGAGCCAATGTTTTTCATGTGTGATCCCATACTAGCACTGTTCTAAGTGTCAACTACTGTAAGGGTGTTTTTAGCATTTTAATAAATTGTGGTTTAAACGGTACACTAGACTGGGTCTTCTGCTTTCACATATGCATTCCTGCTCTGCTGAGCGATTCAACCAGTGAAGGAAAAACGATTTGCTATTTACATCTAGAACTGGTTTTCCCAAGAGGGGAGCAAGTGTTACATGACCTAACTGGTAATGCAGGGGTCATTTATCTGAGGTGAATGGCCATCTGATAACTGGTGGTAGAAGCATGAAGCACACTGGTTTTTATGTTATAAGGACTTCACTTTAGTTTCACATGGTGTGGATATACACTGCTCAAAAAAATTAAAGGGACACTTGAAAATACATCAGATCTCAATGGGGAAACAATATCATGCTGGATATGTTTACTGATATGGGCTGAGTAATGTATTAGGAACATAAGGATACCCCATTGTTTGATGGAAATGAAAATTATCAACCTACAGAGGACTGAATTCAAAGACATCCCAAAAATTAAAGTGAAAAAATGATGGCGCAAACTAGTCCATTTTGCTGAAATTTCATTGCAGCAACTCATCATGGTACTCAGTAGTTCATATGGCCCAATCATGCTTGTATGCATGCCTAACAGTGTCAGGGCATGCTCCTAATGAGACGATGGATGGTGTCCTGTGGTATTTTCTCCCAGATCTGGACCAGGGCATGATTGAGCTCCTGGACAGTCTGAAGAGAAACCAGGCAGCATCAGATGGACTGAAACATGATATCCCAGAGGTGTTCTATTGGATTTAGGTCAGACGAGTGTGGGGGCCATTCAATGGTATTAAATTCCTTCATCCTCCATGAACTGCCTGCATACTCTCGCCACATGAGGCCTGGCATTGTCATGCACCAGGAGGAAACCAGGACCCACTGCACCAGTGTAGGGTCTGACAATGGCTCCAAGGATTTCATCCCGATACCAATTGGCAGTCAGGGTACCATTGCCTAGCCTACATAGGTCTGTGCATCCCTCCATGGATATGCCTCCCCAGACCATCACTGACCCACTGTGAGATGGGGAAACAGCTCTCATTGTTTGAACACTCTTGGTGTGGAGTAAATTAAATGTTCTGGACTGACATTCTGCGGTTTAGCCACAAGATGCCACTGTTTTCCTAACACAGCCTCAGACTGCAAAGATATTTCTATATTCGTGAAGAGGTGGGGTTTTGACTCAGAGTTTAGAGAACAGGAATAGGAGAGAGAGAGGAGCCATGTTTGGAGAATGGTGATTGAAGGAGCCGGGTGAGCAGAGAATCTGATGGCATCCAGGTGTGAGAGCATCCCTCAGTAACCAGAGCTGCAGCTAAGTGAGGCTGATCGTGTCCAAGACCCTGATCCTGTTCAGAGAAAGGAAGATTGCTGCCAGGAATGCTGATGAGAGCGGAGGAACAAAGCAACAAACACTGCGATACCGCATGCTTGTTGGAGAGACATTTGTTATGTTCAGAGTCACCAGCGTATGCAAAGCAGACCCCGGTTGGTAAGATCGTGCACGCACCTCATTTCAATGTTGGCGCCTAAAGACTGAGACCAGGCCTATAGTTAGTGAGTTAGGGTCTCTGTTTGTGTCAGGCCACAAGTGTTATTACTGATCATTGGAAGGACTTCATAACTTAAAGCGACATTTCACATTGGAGAGCTGATAAAATCCCACAAAACTCAAGCCAGACTGGCGTTTTGCTCAAAAGGAATACTCAGGCACGTGCTACAGGACCAGTTATGGGAGGGGGAATACTGTAGATCTGTGTAAGATTGTAAGCTGCTGTGCTGCACCGCAGGCTAGCCCATACCGTACACCCATACACTGATTCCTGCTATTTTAGGGTAATAACGGGTAAGGTGTGGCAGCTTAGTTGTGCCCGCCAGTAGGTAAATTACTACACCTTCTACCTTTATCCATCAGGAGGCACCGTGCTGTGCAGCACAAGGGTCTCAGCCTTTGGGCTGGGTGTATGTAAATTTATTGTATGTTCTCAGCATTTGTGGTTGTGTTTATTTGCCACATCTAAGTAAAATTCTGTTGTGGCAAAAGCTGGTGTTGGGGTTGCTTTCCTCGTCCATGACTTCACTGTATCCTGGGGAGCCCACCCCGGTACACGGCTTACACCACCACCAAAAATATGGTCATGTTGAATGATGTTACAGGCAGTATAACATTCTCCATAGCTTCTCCAGACCCTTTCACGTCTGTCACACGGTGAACCTGCTCTCATTTGTGAAAAACACAGGGTGCCAGTGGCAGAGCTGCCAATTCTAGTGTTCAATGGCAAATGCCAATCAAGCTCTATGATGCCGGGCAGTGAGCACAGGGCCCACTAGAGGATGTTGGGCCCTCAAGCCACCCTCATGAAGTCTGTTGCTGATTGTTTGGTCAGAGACATTCACACCAGTGGTCTGCTGGAGATCATTTTGTAGGGCTCTGGCAGTGCTCACCCTGTTCCTCCTTGCACAAAGCAGCAGATACTGGTCCTGCTGATGGGTTAAGGACCTCCTATGGCCTCGTCCAACTCTCCTAGAGTAACTGCCTGTCTCCTGGAATCTCCTTTATGCTCTTGAGACTGTGATGAGAGACACAGAAACCCTTCTGGCAATGACACGTATTGATATGCCATCCTGGAAGAGTTGGACTGCCTGTGCAACCTCTGTAGGCTCCAGGTATCGCCTCATGCTACCAGTAATGACACTGACCCTAGCCAAATGCAAAACTAGTGAGAAAACAGTCAGAAAGATGAGTAGGGAAAAAAATATCAGTGACCTCCACCTGTAAAACCATTCCTGTTTTGGGGGTCATCTCATTGTTGCCCATCTAGTGCACCTGTTGTTAATTTAATTAACACCAAAGTAGCTGAAACTGATTAACAACCCCCTCTGCTACTTAAAGTGTTACTAAACCCACAACAGTAAAATTAGTCTGTATATGAAGTAAAGCATGCTTGTTACACTCACTGTAGAACCTGAGGGGTTAATACTCTGCATTGCGTAAAAAGGCTGTTTGGGACTTTTTTCCCTGCTCCTCCTTTTGTTCAGATGTCCACCTGATAAGACAGACTGGACCCGCACCCACATGCACATGCTCAGTTTTGTGTGTACTGCTAGAGAGGTTTTTTGTTTTTCTTGGGAGAGTGCATATGATCAGCACAGGGCCAATCAGCACTGCCCAGACAGAGGTCAGGTGTTTTGCATTCTCCTACAGCAGAAAGAAAACTCCTCCTATAAGCTTTAACCAGTGATTTGCTGAAGTCACAAGACTGCTCTAACTGCTGATGAGAAAGGGTATTTAGCAGTTTATATTTACTAAAATAATTGCATTTCCATGTTCTGTGTACTGTAGGAGACCAGATAAAGTGAATCCAGGGTCCTGGGTTTAGTAACACTTTAACTGACCAGATCAATACCCCAGGAGTTTAATTGACTTGATGCTATATTATGATTAAAAAGTGTTCTTTTAATTTTTTTGAGCACTGTATATTAGACTATATGATTCATATTTAATTCATTACTTCTTTTTGCACTATATTAACCACCTCTCTTGTTCTGGGAGGACATCATATGACGTCCACCCACTCTAACCGCGCATGCATGGCTCCGGGGGCGAGCAGCGCGGCGATCAGTGGTGTGCTGTGTCCCTTGGACACAGCGGATCACCGATGTCACATATCAGTGCCCATCTGAGCTGCCTTTCAGTGTCACCTATCAGTGTGCATCAGTACCACCTATCAGTGCCCGTAAGTGCTGCCTATCAGTGCCAGTCAGTGCCACCTAACAGTGCCAGTCAGTGCCACATATCAGTGCCCATCTGAGCTGCCTTTCAGTGTCACCTATCAGTGTGCATCAGTACCACCTATCAGTGCCCGTAAGTGCTGCCTATCAGTGCCAGTCAGTGCCACCTAACAGTGCCAGTCAGTGCTGCCTATCAGTGCCAGTCAGTGCCACATATCAGTGCCATATATGAGTGCTGCCTTTCAGTGCCCATCAGTGATGCCTGTCAATGCCCATCAGTGCCACCTACCAGTGCCTCCTCATCAGTGCCCATCAATGCCACCTAGCAGTGCCCATTAGAGCACATCAATGAAGGAGAAAACTCACTTATTTACTAAATTTTATAACAAAAACTAAGAAAAATTTTTTTTTTTCAAAATTTTCAGTTGTTTTTGGTTTGTTTAGCAAAAAATAAAAAAACCAGAGGTGATTAAATACCACCAAAAGAAAGCTCTATCTTTCTAAAAACAATTATACAAATTTCATATGGGTACAGTATTGCATGACCGCGCAATTGTCATTCAAAGTGTGACAGTACTGAAAGGTGAAAATTGGCCTGGGCAGGAAGGGGGTATAAGTGCCCTGTAGGCAAGTGGTTAATATAGATAATGATATTACAGTATGCATAATTGATATTATGAATAGATATATACTAATGATATTATATTCAGTATTTGTTTGATTATTTTTTTTTTTTAATTTTTTTATTATAAACAATGTTTGTTGTATACATTGATTGCATTTTATATATGTCCAACATTCTTCAACAATTCAACTTTAACTTGAAAACTTACATTTGAACAATGCATTTTATATATGTCCACTATGCTTATTTATAAATCCTTCTTTCTTATATTGTTATAACCCTGATAAGAAGGTGAATTTTCAGCTTCAAAACACATTGGCGCTTTCATAAATTCTTCAACTTTACCTTGAAAACTTACTTTTGAACTATTAGTCAGCAATGCATACAATCCCAGATTAGTTTTAATTATTTAATGGTAGACATAGAACATTTTTGGTTACATGTGGTTAAACACTAACACTATATCACAACAATATACTTGGCTTTCCTTTATTATCAGTCTTGGTAGTATGTCCTCTCTTGAACTATAGTCACCTCACTGTGGCTTTGGGCTTATTCTAGTCTATATCTTCTTTGTGTCCTAGAGGTACATGTATAACTTAGGAATTCTTTAGCACAATATTTTGTTTAGAGTCCTCCTAATTTGCCTTCCATATTTGTACAAGTTATGACGTTTCCAGAGCCAACAACAGGGTGAATGTAGGAGTATGTAAATTAAGCTGTTAAATAAAAAAATTAATTTGTTGCATTACAAATACTGTATGTATGCAATGACTGCAGACTTAGAAGATTGAGTATTGTGGAACCTAATAGGTAATCTCTGGTAAAATAGGATGTGCACACTGAATTACAGATTTAAGTGCAATTGGAAACTTTCTGTTTTGCTTTTTGAGCTGCTAAGTTTAGTTTCTAAAAAAAATAGGAGCTATTTAAACTCCTAACTAAAAAGTTATAATCCTATACCCACAGTTGATCCAGATGAAGGCAAAAAAACCCAGTACAGCATGATCCAATTTGCTCCTGCAGGGGAAAAAAATCCTCCCTGATCCTCTGAGAGGCAATCTGATATTCCCTGAGTCAACTTTACCTATAAATGTTAGTATCCAGTTATATTCTGTGCTTATATAGCACTGTCAATTTAAGCAGTGCTTTATGTGTATATTGTACATTCACATCAGTCCCTGCCATCAAGGAATTTACAATCTAAGGTCCCTAATTCACATTCAGACATAAACATACTAGGGACAATTTAGACAAGATCCAATTAAGCTACCAGCATGTCTTTGGAGTGTTGGATAAAACCCACACAGGCACAGGAAAAAACATACAAAGTTCAGCCTGATAGTGCCATGGGTGGGATTCAAACCAACCACCCTAGTGCTGCCAGGCAGAAGTGCTAACCACCTAGCCACTGCACTGCCACTCTGGTACAGTTTCTAAGATGTATCTCCTAGTTTCAGCTTCCTCCCCTTCTGCCATTCCCCGCTACTATTACCGGCAATTAACAGAAGTTAAAATGACAGCTGAAGATTGCTATGTACTACATAGCAGGAGTGACTGTCAAAATGCAGCCTCCCTGGTGTTAAATGACACTTTCAAGTGTCATTGAGTAATGTAGTGTAACAATGTACAGTATTTACTATTGCTTCAACTGTATTTACAATTTCATACATGTGTAGATTAGGATGTGACTTTGGATCTACATATGGCATCAGTTAAAGAAGCCTTGCAAGTTAAAATAAAAAAATAAATAACATGGCTACCAGTTAATCTTCTTGTTAACCATAATCAGTCACAATTAACCTTTTCCTCCCGTTCCTTAGTTGATATTTTTAAGCTTTTTGTTTTCAATTTTTACTATTTACTGTATATGTTTTTGTTTTCATTTGTTTTTCACATAAAAAGTGGCAAAGTTAAAATAGTAATTTTTTTATTTGAAAATCAACTTTTTCATGCTTTGTTCCAGAAACAGACCTTTAGTACCATTCAGGGGTGGACTGACCATTTGCAAACTTGGGCACTGCCCGAGGGCCCAGGGTCAGTAGGGGACCCCATGAGATGCCCCTGGTACCTTTTTCATAGGCTTTTTTGAGTTTGGGTAAGGACACAGGGGCCACATGATCCCCTATTGCCCGGGGGCCCCATGAGTTGTCAGTCCACCCCTGGTACCATTTAAACAAAACAAATTATAGAATAAATTCATCATTTTTATTTTACATTAAAACTACTTTTCTTTTTAAACTAACACTGGTCAAAATAGAAAATATATGCATTCTTTCATTTTATGTATCTTTGTCTAAAGGTTTATACTGTATATTAGTTGAGAATGGACTTGGAGGTGCCTAAGGATAACAATGAACATTTATTGGTCACAAATTAAAAAAATAAAGTTTCAGATGACAAATAAAAACCAAAAACCTCTGTTACCAATTATTGTGTGTAGGACTGTTTCCTCATCATATTGTAACATGCTCTAGGTTTTTGTTGTATCTTCTATTATATAATTAATTTTTTAGTCAAATCATAGTAATTCAAAATGCGATTGATAATGTGAAGCCCTATGGTGTGTTCCAGATATCCAGATGGGGACTCTCTAGCCTTAATGCACAGGTAGGAAACAATGAATACCTGGAGGATGTGCCAATGGACTCCATTCACTAAAGTGGATTGCATGCGATATTTAGGTGATCTGACACATTTTTCCCAAATATTGCATGTGATGCTGAAAATGTCAATCCACTATCTCTTTATGCGGGATTTACCTCAAAAAACAAAAAGGCTTGGTAAATACATGCAGTATTTTGGAAGCATTTTTAGTGAATTGCAAAATTTTTTTTTTGAATAATACTGAGGTATTTTACTGCGGATCTTAACCACATGCCACCCAGCCACTGTATAAATACGGCGTCAGGGCGGCACGGCTGGGCAAAATCACGTTTTAAAACGTGCGTTTTGTAAACAGGTAGGGGGCGCACGCGAGGCGCGCTGCCACCCTACCTGTCCTGCCGATCACAGCCGCGTATGTCAGTCGCCGGGTTACAGCCGGTCGTTACTGGCTATGTCCCGGCGATCGGCGGCAATCGCTGACAGAGAGCACAGCTGCAGTAGCTGTGCTTTCTGTCAGTTCCCTGACAGCTCCAGGACATGCTGATCGGGACAGAAGAGTTTCTCTCTCCCGATCAGCGGTGTTCCCTGCAGTACACACCCCTGCCCCCTAGTAAAACACTCCCCTCACACAGTTAACCCTTTCCCTGAAAACTAAACTTAACCCCTTCCTCCCCAGTGCCATTAGTACAGTGTCAGTGCTTTTTTATTTTTGCACTGATCACTGTATTGGTGTCACTGGGGATGTCAGTGACCCCAAGTCAGTACCCCCCAATGTCAGGATGTCCGCTGCAGTCCCGCAGTCCCGCCATAAGTCGCTGATCGCCGCCATAAGTCACTGATCACCACCATTATTAGTATAAAAAAAAAAATAAAAATCCCAGTATCTTTCCCGCCATTTGTAAACGCTATAACTTTCATGTAAACCAATTAATTTACACGTATTGGGGTTTTTTTTTTAGCAAAGATGACGCAGAATGCATTTTGGCAGAAATTTATGACTAAATTTGATTTTTACATTTTTTTCTACTGGACATGTTTTATAGCAAAAAGTCCAAAATATTGTTTTTTTTTTCCTCAAAATTGTCAGCCTTTTTTTTTATAGCGCAAAAAATAAAAACCGCACAGGCGATCAAATACCACCGAAAGAAAGCTCAATTTGTGGGGAAAAAAAAGGATGTAAATTTCATTTATGTACCGTATTGCATGACCACGCAATTGTCCATTAAACTAGAGCAGCGCTGTATAGCAGAAAAATGGTGTAAATTGCAGTATCTATACCATAGTTTGTAGACGCTATAACTTTCACACAAAGCAATCAATATACACTTATTGGGATTTTTTTTACTAAAAACATGTAGCAGAATACATTTTGGCCTAAATTTATAACCAATTTTGAGTTTACTATATATTTTTTATAGCTGAAAGTAAAAAAATATTGTTTTTCTTCAAAATTTTTGGCTTTATCAGTTTATCAGTTGAATTAGAGCAGCGCCGAGTAGCAAAAAGAGGCCTGGTCATTAAGGGGGGTAAATCCTCTAGAGGGCAAGTGGTTAAAATGGTAGATACTGCTTAGTGTATGGAGCCCACTATGAAGGAGTAATACACCCTTCAAGAGGCCTAAGAGGTTTTTTTGTATATACTTTTGAAACTCTTTTTTATATTTTTGTATCAAACTTTGTTGACATTTTAATAAATGTGCATTGTTATGCTTGGGTATCTCCAAATCCATTCTCAACTAATATATAGTACACTTTTACTCAGTACGTGGTGCCCTATATACCACTCAGTTCTTTTTAGACGTATACTTTGTCTAGAGGTTACATAAAAAATAGAATATTTTTGTAAGGCAACATTAAATTTAGTTTGTCTCAAAAAATGCAGTATATGTATTACTTTGTTAATCTAACTAAGGACAAGGTTAATGCCAAATAAATAAGACCATAGTGGATATGTAAACATTTCTATGGTCCATAAGGGATATATTAGGAGTGTTTGACAGGCTCATGCTTGTATTCCACTCACCAAAGGTCAGTCCTGACCTGTATCTCTGTTGTTTCTATTGGCCAGCGGCTGTTGCTATCTTCTGCATTACCAGCATCTCCAGTGCTGGGTGACGAGCATAGCTTGAGTGGTGGTGCCTCCTTCTCTCCCATTGGTGGGTGGCAGTGAACCTCCTGCACAGTGTCTCTGATACTAGGTAGTGGTGTAGTGCTGCCTTTTTCATTCTGGACCTGTTTGGCTGCAGGGCTCTATTTCAACATCGCAAGCTCATGGCTCCCTACCCTTCCTTGCCTTGATGTCCCTGCCCACTTAGATTAGCCATTGAATTTTCCTTTTGCATACCCCTGCTTGAAATATGGACAACTCTTTCAGATTACTTCCTGCCATTGACTTCAGACTGTTTCTATAATATGCTTCTTTGTTGCCTGCCCTGAGCTTTTTACCTTTTTTTTTACCCTGGTAATCCTGTAAATAACATACTTCCTGTCCCTGGGTGAATACACACACTTTTCCACTTTATATATGAAAGAATGTAAAGTTTCTAACCAGTTGAGAAAAGTGGAAAAATAGCAGTTAACAGTAGCGTTAATAATAACGGTTACCCATAGGGTTATTTCAATGGTATTTCTATCCTTTTGATGATGGTGTAAATGATCTGGTTCCCAGGCAGCTTTTACACAGTCTGCTTGGCTTGTAGTGTAATGTAACAAAAATTTAAACTGAAGTAAACAGTACCTCTAAGAGGTCCAGATACAACTTTATTCCAATAAAAGTCAGGGGAACAATGCAAAAAGTACCAACACATTTCAGGGTTTCAAGAGTACCCCCTTCATCACAGCTTGACTGACAACAAAGTGAATAGACTAGAATAGAACTAGACCTTTAATGTTAATTTTTTCCATTGTGATTGCAAGCACAGGCCTTGCCAGCAGCTGGTTTGGCAGGCTTTTGACTCCCAAAACATGTTGGCTACTTTTTCGATTGTCCCTCAGACTTTCATTGGAATAATTCATATCTGGAACTCTTAGCAATGGTGTAGTGCTTCAATTTCAATAGTTGCTGATCAGACATGACTCCAAACATATCTGTCTTTGTTCCTTTACAGTACAATAGGGCTGTGACTGTAGCTGCAGCCTTGGACTGAGATTGGCTGTAGAGATGAGCGAATTGAACTTGGCGAAGTGGAATTCGTTTAGAATATTAGGAAAAATTTGATTCGCACCGAATCCGAATATTAGCAAACTTCAGATGCGCGAATCGAATTTTTCCCGATCGGCCGATTTTCATCCCTTCTACAGCTGGCAAAAAGTGTCCCTGCAGAGAGCTCCGCTATTTCTGACAGTTCTCTGACAGTTCCTTCACATTTACAGCGGTTGAAACATTGTATCTATTTGTTTCCATTTAGGATACAGATGTTTTTATTCGGAAACAAATAGATACAATGTTTCAACCGCTGTAAATGTGAAGGAACTGTCAGAGAACTGTCAGAAATAGCGGAGCTCTCTGCAGATACACTTTTTGCTGTACTGGAATTCTTCTTCTTTTCATTCTTCTTCTTCTTTTCATTCTTCTTCTTCTTCTTCTTCTTCTTCTTCTTCTTTTTCATTCTTCTTCTTTCTGTTCATTCTTCTTCTTCTTCTTTTCATTCTTCTTCTTCTTCTTTTCATTCTTCTTCTTCTTTTCATTCTTCTTTTCATTCTTCTTCTTCTTCTTTTCATTCTTCTTTTCATTCTTCTCATTCTTCTTCTTTTCATTCTTCTTTTCATTCTTCTTCTCATTCTTCTTTTCATTCTTCTTCTTCTTCTTTTCATTCTTCTTCTTCTTCTTTTCATTCTTCTTCCTCTTCTTTTCTTCTTCTTTTCATTCTTCTTCTTCTTCTTTTCATTCTTCTTCTTCTTCTTTTCATTCTTCTTTTCATTCTTCTTTTCATTCTTCTTTTCATTCTTCTTCTCATTCTTCTTTTCATTCTTCTTCTTCTTCTTTTCATTCTTCTTCTTCTTCTTTTCATTCTTCTTTTCATTCTTCTTCTTCTTTTCATTCTTCTTCTTCTTCTTTTCATTCTTCTCATTCTTCTTTTCATTCTTCTTCTCATGCTTCTTTTCATTCTTCTTTTTTTCATTCTTCTTCTTCTTCTTTTCATTCTTATTTTCATTCTTCTTCTTCTTTTCATTCTTCTTCTTCTTTTCATTCTTCTTTTCATTCTTCTTCTTCTTCTTCTTTTCATTCTTCTTCTCATTCTTCTTTTCATTCTTCTTCTTCTTCTTTTCATTCTTCTTCTTCTTCTTTTCATTCTTCTTCTTCATTTCATTCTTCTTCTTCTTCTTTTCATTCTTCTTTTCATTCTTCTTCTTCTTCTTTTCATTCTTCTTCTTCTTCTTCTTCTTCTTTTCATTCTTCTTCTTCTTCTTTTCATTCTTCTTCTTCTTCTTCTTCTTCTTCTTCGTCGTGCCCCGTGACTGCCCAAATGAGTGAAGTGTGCGGTGATTCTAAGATCGACGGCACTCATCTGCATGTCATACTGACTGACAGTATTATTTCTCTTCCCCAGCAGACTCCAAGGGAATTTAAATTAAAGGTACAGTGTTCTGCACTAATATAAAGGCTCTCTGAAGCCTAGAAACCCTTTTAATAAGTTAAATTTGCAGCGAATAAATTCGCATCGAATCAAATTTCTTCCGCAAATTCGGCGAATCAGCCGAATCGAATTTTTGAATAATTCGCTCATCTCTAATTGGCTGCCATTGCAGTTGAAGAGGAGTGCACACACCCCTAGGAACAGGGAAAAGGATGGAACCTGATTGGTTGGCAGGGGCCAGAATGACTTGTGATTGGTTGCAGGCCCTATGACATCACATCTTGTGGGTCACAGAATAGATCACAAAGCAAGCTTTTTTTCTTTACTTGCATTGTATTGCACTGCATTGACCTGCATTTATATGTGTTGACCTGTGTTGCGTGAAAATTCATACATGTTACATTTTAATGCTACACAGGTCAATTCAGATTTGTGGTGTGCACAGAACACATGAGAAACAATTTTTTAGGTATTCTTTGCGTTAACCTGTGTTTTACAGCTGCGCTAAAATGCAGATCAATGTACTCACGCGAATTGGCTCTTACAGTGATTTTTTAATAAATAGTAATGTTCCAAGTGTCTAGAAAAAATGATTTGCACTTAGTGAAACAAAAAACAAAAAGAATGCTGATCCCCCCCAAAAATGAATAATAACCTTATAGTAATCTAAACATACACTTGGTGTATGTGCATCTCTACATTTATAGAAATACAATATACAACTGTGAATCCTCTTAATACAAAAAAAGCTAACAAACCGCAACTTGGTGCATGCTCCATTCCCCTGATGATGCTGATTGGTGGTGAAATATGTTGGGTGGGGCCTAGCCGGTGATGTCATATACAAGCTGACACTCAAGGCCTTGGTGTCTGTTTCTTATGTGCTCCTATACTTCTTATGTTTGTGAGTATATGTCTGCTTATTTTAAATAAAAAATTGTTTTACAATATACTGTAACACCATTGCGGTCCTTTGATCTTCTCCTCCAGAGGCAATATCTGTATGTTGCACAAGAAGATTCCTTCTAGTGTCTGTCATATTATGCTGAGGAGGCAGTGAAAGTATCCTATCAGTGAGTGCTGAGTACGAGCACACAAGCTTGTATTGATCTCTGGAAAGTGAGAACAATATTTTTGGTAAGAGGCTGATCATTTATTTGGTGGAGGAATCATGATTGCTCACCACCTTTCAAGATTTGATTGAATCTTGGAGAATATATGTTGGACTGAGCACTTTTTCACATTTTCACATTTTACATATGTCTGGTTTTGTTTTTCATATGGTGGATTGCACTTATTTATTATAAAGTTGTGGTTTGTTTAGCCTTTTTTTTTTATTAAGAGGGTTCACAAGTGTATATTGTATTGCTATAAATGTAGAGATGTGCGTCAAGTGTATATTTAAATGTTCCAAATGTATCAGTGGTCTACATAATGAAGAAGTCTTTTGAGAGAAATGTGTTTAACTTTATAGTTTTTCATTGCTGAAAAACTGTGTTCTTGTGATGTGATACTTAAAGTTACAATTCATATTAATGTAGATATTTTAAAAAATGCAAATTGTGATACTTTGCCATTTAGTTTTTTCTATCTAATAAATATAATGTTGTTAAATCCGGTTATTTGATTAATTTCTACTGTCTGTTTTACTGTTTTTTGCACATTGCTCTTTGCCTTTCAACATACAAAGGTCTAGGTGACTTTTTTAGCATTTTATTTTATATTTAGTGTCTTAAGACAGACTGTCCTTCAACAAAATAGACTGAGCGTTTGACATAGAGCTGTATCGGTCACATTAATGTGCCTCTGACATCTAGTTTTTAAAATGCATGGTGCTCTTCCATAACTTTTACCTCTGTGGAAGAAATTAAAAAAGACAACCAATTTGTAAACCAATGTATTCTTGGTTAAAGTATCTGTTTTTATATCTTATAAAAGACAAATTGTTTCACACAAAAGATACTGCAGTGGCAAGTATCAACAAGAATTGTACATAACACAGTTTGATTTATGCAACAGTATGTACATCTGTTATGTATTTCAGTCATTTAGTTTTTTTCTGCAGCACATCACAGGTAAAATGAAACCATCTGTATGATGTCTTGCCCCCAAAGAGAAGTCATTAGTTTTCTTTCAAATTGACTTTAATTGTAGCATCAAAACTATACATATCATACAGCAGAAGTAGCAAGGTAGCTCGCATTTACAGGATGTTAGATATGTGCAATTCATTTTGTTTCGAATCGAAATTCAGATTCTTTTTCTTTGTACGTGAATCTCCAAATCATAATAGTAACTAATTTCAATTAATCCAAAATAAATTCTAACAAAAACGACAAATTAATTTGTATTAATTTGTTTCTCTCGGTGACTTCAGAAGGTTTTGAAAGTTCAATAATATTGTCACACTCTGTATTGTTATGATTGGCCAAAGCCAAAGTCAAGCAAAACATCAAAGTCCAAGTTGCATTGAAATTGCAAGCAAGCCACATGAAAAAAGCAAGCAAGTCATGCAAATTGCACGGAAGTAGCACCAAAGTTTCAAGTAAGTCACATCAAAATTGCCAGCAAGTCTCAAGTAAAATGCATGGAAGTCCATCAAAGTTGCAAGCAACTCACATCAAAATTGCAAGCAAGTCCCAAGGAAACAGCATAGAAGTCGCAACACAGTCACAAACAAGTCACCAAAATAACATAATGACATAACGAATGAATCTGAATCTTCTGAATTAGCGTACAAAAATACAACTCAGTTCAGAACAATGAATATATTAAACAAATCTGAATATAGAAAACAAATTCAGAAACTGAATCATTCGAATATGACGAAACATAATGATTGACTTACTGAATGAATCCGAAATGAAACGAAACAAATCATTTCAACATGCACATCTCTACAACAAATAATTATTTTAAAAGAGGCTACCATGGTAGGACTGAGAAAAAAAAAGATGCAACAAGCACTTTGAATAGGCAAAAACAACATTCCTACCAATTCCTATATCAGCAAAAAGAGAAGAAAGGGGTTGGAAACAAGGGTAAAACAAATGTAGGCAAATTAGGAGTTTAATGGTTCCGCAAGTAGGTGAAAAAGTAATAGGGGGAATTGGATAGAAATAGAAGAAGAGAATGCAATTCAGGCATACAATATCCAGTTTAGGCAATTTAAAATTGTAGTTCAGGAGGGGCCAAGAAATAATTAAGCAGGTGATGCCAGAGAGAAGGGAAGATCTGGGATTGAGGTGGGTCAAGAAATATTTACAATCCTCGATGCTCTTAATACACAATCCAGGCCAACCAAATAGCACAGGAATCAAGAAGATACCTAGACCTAAACTAGTGTATACAAAAAGGATATGGTGTTCTGAGGATATATGGTACATACACGTAGCTCTCCAAGAGTTGTCAAAAGGTCTATGGACAGTAGATATGTGTGATTCATTTTGTTACAATTTGTTTTTCAGGTGAAAATGTAATTTTCAAACATTTGGGTGTATACGAATCTCCAAATAGACATAGTAACAAATGTCAACAAATCCAAAAAGATGGTATAACAAAATTAACAAATGCATTTATTCCATTCAGATGATGTCACATGATGTGATAGTAGTTCGGACCCATGGAGACATGAATTACATTTTTGAATTAGAAAAATAGTTTGGATTGGAATTTAAATCCTAATATCATTCCATTTGTTAATTCGGATGTACATGACGTCAGTCAATATTGTCTAATCAGCTCATGCCATTTCTCTTGGTGTGTTGGGCTAGCTTCTGAAAATTTTGAACCCTTCCAATCTGAATCCGTCCAACTCGATAATATGTTGGATAAACGGCAAGCTTCTGGAAAAACTGCAAACCTTTTGAATCCACATAGATCAACAAATATACAAAATAAATGCCAAAGAAATGAAACAAATTTAAAAAATGATTTTGTTCAACAAAACGAATATGAATAAATCAAATTCTTCAATAAATGAATGCAGCCAAAACAAAACAAAATTAAAATTTCCAAGTGCACATGTCTGAATGTCTAATGGACAACAGATCTCATGTGTATTGAATGGTAAAAACTCCAAAAATCAGAGGAAAGTGAAGACTGGAAATGTCAGATTATGAAGCATGAGGGTGAAAGGGCTGGGTAGGAGAAAAGGAAAGGGAACAGTGGTTTAGGTGGCCTGCAACAAACAGTGCTATAGATGAGGAAAGGCCAAGCTTTGGTTTGTAGAAGGGATGAGTCAAATTCCAATTTAACCCATTGTTTACTCTGTTGTATATTTGTAAGTACTGTAGTTTTCAAGAATCTATCTTTAAGGTGTAAAGAAGTCTGATCTAATAATTGCAATAGGGGAGACCAGGTGTTTGAGAGCTCACCTCTAATTGAATCCTTGTTACTTTGTTGATAAAGGTGGTTAGATCTGAACTTCAGGCAGATAGATAAAAAATACAAAAATTAAAGCAGCTTCATAACCATTAATACAACTTCAAATGCATTATTTAAATACAAGATGTGCAAGTACCTTAATCTGACCAGGTCTCAGCCTTTTGCAGTCCTTACATAGCAGGACTGGGGTGTGAGAGGAAGCAGCAGCACAAGGAGTCAGACAAGTAGCATGATGATAGAAAGAGAATATAAAGCAACAAACAGTGGAGTTCATCACTGTACTGCTTCTCATTTCACTGTCCAATCACAGAGTGGGGCGGTTCAGGATCACCTGGGTTCAGAGGAAGCGGGCTGAATGATGCAGGCATGACCCATCAGACTGAGTACAGCTAATGGTTGAAAAAGGTACTTTGCAAAATGTGGAAATATGTGGTGGTACTCAGGTTAAAAAAAGGAAAGGCAGAATTGGATAAAATTCTAA